TTTATGAAGTTTTGAAAGTTTTCATAGTTCAAACATTGGCATATCATACATTATTCAGTGTGTGTGGTTACATGTCGTGGTGACAGAAATCACTAGCTCTCTAGCTCGAATGTATGGTACCAAAAATAATAGTAAAACATTTTTTAACAAATTTAGAAATGACTCGTATGTAAGTATGGTAGTTGTAATGATTTGATGGTTGGAAATGTTAATAGTTGTTGGGTTCGAACTATGTGTATATATAACCGATTAAGATTTGAATGGATTGTGATGATTTTGCGGGGCATTCGAAGTTACAGATATTACAACCACTTAATTATCAGTTTATATGTAGAACTACATGATTTTTTTTATTTGTACATAGTAACATTTTTAGATATAGCTTACAAGATAAATACAAGGAAATGATATGATGTGTCATTGGTGATAATTCGTGAGGAATTTTAATTATTTTTGAAGTCAAATGGTCTTTAGTGTTATCAAATTTTGTGGTGATTTGTGGCCACTTATATGGGATGATAATGGAAATCATAATGGTGTATATTTATGCTATATGATAAGAAATTATGGAAGACAATGATGATTTGTTGATTGATAGATGACAATGTGTTATTATATATTTTAGGCATCGAGGAAATTAATGATAATTCTAATTATTTCGATTATTTATGAGTTGTTTGATTATAAGGAATGTGAGAATAATAGGGATGAACTTCATAATAATCACTTTTTATGGGGTAATTTGCTGCTTTAGAAATAGAATTAAATGGATATGTACATTTAGGTATGTTTATGTGAATAAAAAAAATAAAAAAATAGAGAATGGTAGAGTTGAAATTTATTGAGATTGGGAAATTAACATGCTGTATATTGATGTGTGAAATGTTCACATGATAAATATGAAGGTTATTATCTTATGATACTAAGGAAAATTGATATAATTAAATATTTTAGGTGATACGATATGACGATAAATGCCAATGTTGCATGATCATAACATAATATGGTGGATAGCATGTAAATGAATATAATGGTTGTTCTATAGCCAAATAATGTGATGATAGATTTGGGTTATTAAGTTAATTAATTCTGTTGAGGCCATTTGTTGGATTACTGTGTCATATTCTATACAATTTGGAAGCGTTGAGTTAAATTTTGAAGTTAATATGAATTTAATGAATTTTTAGTGATGTAATTTTTGGGTGATTTTCAATTGTATTTTTGGATTTACGTATAAAGTATTCCATTTTTATTGATATCTATTTGCTATGGAATATATGGATGATGTCGAATAGTTTGAAGTTTAGGGTGATCATTGAATGTAAATTCTATTCAATTGTCGGACAATATGTTTGGGTTATAATCTTAATTAAAGGTCTTTATGTGATATACAAGAAGGATTATGCAGTGATGATAGATCAACGACCAATTTATGGAATAAGAATGTAATTTTCATGATTAAATGTTATTATTTTCTCTTCATAGAAAGAAAGAACAAAATTTATATGGGTATAAAAATGTCAAAAGTTTTGCTATTAGGAAATTCTGAGGAAATATTTGCTCTTATATCTAAAGATGATAAGTTATTGATTCACGATAATGATTTATAATAATAGATTATTTTTTAAGGTTAGAAAGTGTTCTGGAGTAAAATGATGAATTATGAATTATATGATAGATTGTTGAAGAGGCATGATTAAAACATGATTTGGAGTTGGTTTTATTGGGATTATGTCATCACATTGCGAGAAATATCAATACTTATCAATCATTAGAGTTTTAAGGTATATTTTATTAGAAATGGTGGAAATTGAAATTGTGTATATATTATTATTGAATGATATAGAATTAAAGGAAAAAAAATTCACATTAAGTTATCTCAATTGTTTTATTGGGGATAAATAAAATTTTTGAATATCGTAAACAATTGAATTTTTGGAGATATTGTCAATTTAGAATGAAGGTAGTTACCCTCAAATATTTTTGTTTGGGGATTCCAAATATACGAAATGAAGACAAAATAGTATTTAAATCATTGTGGATAAATTGATAAAGGTTACAAGATTCTTTTTAAATGATATAGTCAGTTCATATAATAGACTTATAAAATTATATTTAGACAATATTGTTAATTACACGGTGGAATTTGAGTATTTATTTTTGGTTAGTTGTAAGGAGTTATATAAGTAAATTTCACTGTGCATTTTCTTTTGATAGAATATCAGACATTATGAAGACAAGTTCAAGAGAAAGGCTATCAACTAGTTTGTTAATTAAAGAGGACTTGGATGATTATCTATTCTTCATGGAATTGACCTATAAGAATTAGACACAAATGACGATAATTGAGATTATATATGATATTGAAATATTCTGAAATTGGTGAAAGAATGCTATTCAGTTTTAGTACGTAACCATTATTATGGAAAAAAAAGAGATTTGATTAGAGAATTGATCAAATCAAGACGTGAGACGGAGTTTTGGAGAACATGAATAGTATCTTGAACTTCAAATTGGAAAATAATTAAGTTTTCCTAAGATTTGGAAAAAAAAAAAAATGAGAATAGCATATATTGGCTCTTAGGAAGTTATTAAAACTATGATGGGAAAGATTAAATTTTGGTACTAAAAGTTTGTTGGAGAAATCATTCAATAAAAGAGGCATTAAGGGAAGCGGAAGTTAAACGTGAGTTCTATATCCTTACGTGTTGGACCTCTAGCTAATTGAATTTTGAGGACGAAATTTTTTTCAGAGGGTGAGTTTTGTAATACCTTAAAATAAAATAAAAAATGAAAAGTCAAAACTGTCAAGCCAAGCCAAAAAAATGAAAAACTGAAATAGAAAACAGTCAGGCGGTGATTGGATTGATATAATTAATCCAGTTCACACACAAATGAAACAAACCCATTTCATTTTCACACATAGAGAGAGAGAGAACGAGGTAGGAAGAGAAAAGAGAAAGGAAAAAGAAGAAGAAAAGAAGGAGAAGATGAAGAAAAAATAGGAAAGTTCACCTATATTATTAGAAAATAAGTGGTCTACATTATTAGGTTTGAATTCCTCAATTTTGAAAGGTAAGTAAACAGTTCTTATTGTCAAGTTATGTTTGATTTTATAGTTGTTAAATTTTTGGACTAAATTCAATTTTATTGAAAGGGTTAAATATAATAAATTATGAAATTGAGTAAAGTGAAAGAAAAACTAGTTTTAGTTATTAAAAAGACTTTAGAAATCGCCTAAATATGAAATAATTAAGTTTGGGTATTGTCTATTTAATTATTGAAATTACTTAAAATAGTTAATTGTTGATTTATAAATTATATTAAATTTCAGGGGACGATACGGACATCGGGGCAGTTTACCGACCTAGTTGATTTTGGCAAATATAGTTCTGTGAGTCGAAAAATATAAATATTTTTAAAGTATTTATAAATTAAGTTTATTGTTAAAGTATGTGCACTTATGTGTTCGAATTACATGGTTATTATGGAAATATCTTTTATTATGATACATGTGGGATTTCAAAGATTGTACACGTTACATTGTGAATTAGAATATGAGATATGATTTTGAGATCGATCAGAAAAGTATCCGTGATGATATATTTCTTCTAGTTCACTGAGGAGTTTTGGCCGTATTCTAGACCACACTGAGGGGTCTTGGACTGGGGATGAAGGGGTCTTGATCATGTACATATAGTTCATTGAGGGGCATTGACCGTGTTCTAGAATTGATTATGAGAGGTCTTTGAAACCAACTTTCGTTCAAGGAGGGGCCAAAGGCCCATGACGAAAGTTCTTAGCACGAAGGGTAGATTACATATTTCAATCAGAGAGTACATTTTTTGTGGATTTTTCGGTATGTTTGATGTGATGAGACTATAGCATAGTTATTAGCTGATGTTTTTATCATAATTTTGAGATGATATTTTCCGACCTTATGTGAATATTTCACCTTTGGTTATAATTACATGATGTTATGTTATGAATTATCAAATGATATTAATTTGATTTTCGATAGAAATGTAAAATTGAAAAAGTATATTTATTTTCGAACTTCTTCACTTACTGAGCTTTCAATTCATATATTTTCTCGTAATTTCTATACAGGTGGAAATTGATTCTTTTTAGCTAGAAGAGCCTAATGATCTCCAAATGAGAGTCACACGACATGTTGAATATTATAACTCATATTAATGAAGCATGAAGTAAATATTTTGGATCCAATTCATTATGTTTTACATAAACATTTGATTTTGTTGCATTTTTTTAAATAACTCATAATTAGCCTTGGTGATAGATTTGATATCTAGTCAGCATCTATCATCGGCACAGGTCACGTTTCAGGTCCACTAGAATGATTCAGGACGGGTTGTGTCATGAATGGCTTCGAATAAACTCCAATTATGCTCCAATTTCAACTTTGTCA